CACTTAGTATTCGACTGAGACAGCGGCGGCGGCGTAGACGTAGGCGGAGGCGTAGGTAGATTAAACAAGTAAACGGTTTACCAGCTCAATCCAGACGTAGACGGGTGAGGTTACAAATATCCGGTTGATACTTATAATCTCAAAACGGGGCACTTAGACAGTAACTGTACTGAAGAAATGCAAAGCGGAGTGCGTAAAAATGTAAATTCGTATGTAGCGGGTAGCTTATTTTTACAGGGGGAACAGGGCTCTATTTATACTACTAACTACGGTTGTTGACTCTTATTTGGTTCTTACCAGATCCTTCCACTGATGGCATCATTGTTCCATTTCGTTCCAGAAGATTCCAGGGCGTGTTTGTCATTGTTTCTAACGGATGGCTTCGGCATTTCGGGTTCAAAACGGCCTCGGCTTCTATTGTCCTTGGTCGCGAAAGTGCGTTTCGCCGTTTCGTCAATTCTAACCATTTTTACTAAGGCGAATTTTTCTATCACCAACTTCATTCTGAGTCCAAACACTTTTGGCTCATGACACCGCCTATCGACCTCGCTTTACTGAACCCGACGACATGTTCAGGAACGGACCAACATTCCAGCTAGAGGCGTACGAACCTCATAATTGCACCACTAGGCTATATGTGGCCTCCGCTAAACTTAAGCATTCCCACTATTTCACGGTGACCCACAGAATTGGGCGAGATGTCGAAATTGGAGACACTGTGAAATTGAATGGGGAAGTCTACGGCCACTGGGTTGTAGGGGATCGCATTCGGGAACACGGAAAATCCGTCCTCATGAATCTCCAAGAGTTTCGCCATCAGATGGCAGCCATCTTGGTAATTCCTCAACAATATCTGGAGCCTAGTCTTCGACCAGAACAGGTGGTCGAAGAAAGGTCTTTGTATTCTAGCTCTCAAATAGCTTCCGCTCATGACGAATAGTCCATATTAGCCGATTATTCACGAGTATTAGCCCTTTCTGCTCGCTATACTGTAACAATGCCATACGAGTCCGCCCTTGTTCCCAATTTGGAAATTTGTCTGCCGAGAGACCAAGATTTCAAAATATTGATAAACAAAGGACGCGTGGCTTAATCATTTACATCCTTCGACCCAACCCTCATCTCGCAACCAACCTACTATGAATCCCTCACACCCGCACGTTCTCGCCAGCGATTTGGTCGACCCAAACTCAGGCTACTACACGTATCCGCCAGTCCACGTGACTCATTCTGATCCGCTCTCTTATGAGCCTGATTTGCCAGCTCCCTCGGCTATCCATATTACACCTTCCCCATTCGCGCTGAGCACCATCCTGAACCCCGCGCCTAGGGAACCTTCACCTATCCCCATTTCGGCCCATCCATTGGACATATATCAGCAATTCCTGCAAAAATGGATGCCCGACACCCTACCGCCTGGCTACCAATATGCTAGCCCCTATCATCCCACTCCCATCACCCTATACTCTGTAACGAAGCTATACCCCGAAGACTTCTACGCGGAACCCATTAAAATACGCGTGGAGTCTTGCTTCATAATTAACACTCCAAAAATACTTGTCTACACCGCGGTAACCACTCCACGGGCGAGTATCAAATTAGGAGATATTCTACGAACCACGGGAGATATGAACGGACGCTGGGAAGTCGAAGAAAAATTAGGACAACACGGGGAGCACATCCTTGCACGCGTCAAAGAACGCCAGGACCAGTTGATTGCTATCCTAGCCCTCCCACGCGAACATACTCGACTCAGGCGTGAACGCAGGGCTAACACTGAAGCGCAGCGCCTCTTCTGGGCGGACGTGGAGGACCCTGCTACCTATCAGAAGTAGCTTGAATTCTTCCATTTTGTAGCTCGAAGTCGAATTTGGTCCATCACTGCAAACCGAGGACGGTTTGAATAAATCGTTCCCCGCGGATGTCATGAGCCAAAAGTGTTTGGACTCAGGATGAAATTAATGATAGACAAATTCGATTCAGTAAAAATGGATAGAATTGACGAAACAGTGAAGCGCACTTTCGCGAGGGAAGAACATTGAAAGTTGGGGCATTCTGAGCCCGAAATATCGATGACATCACCGCTGGAGAGCAGTGATGTCATGCCTAGAACAGCGGCATCACCAAAAGAGCGGTGATGTCATAAATGGAATCTGCTAGAACAATGACCTCATCGTTGGAAGGATCTGGAAGGAAATAACTAGATGACATCATCAGTAGCCAGTAGTATAAATAGAGCTCTGCTCCACCTGTAAAAACAGTCAATTACAGCCAATTTACTCCACACGAATTACGCACTCCGCTCCGCACTTTTGCAGTACAGTTACTGTTCAAGCGCTCCGTCTTTGAGATTATAAGTATCACCCGGATATTTGTAAGCTCACCCGTCTACGTCCAGATTGAACTTGTAAGCCGTTACTTGTTTAATCTACCAACGCCTCCGCCTCCGCCTACGTCTACGCCGCCGCCGCTGTCTCAGTCGAATACTACGTGAGTCTTCTACTTAGGCACCTACGATTACGTCTACGTCTTGGAATATATCTGTGATCCGTCGCACGTATATTCTACCCCTACGCCGCCGTCCTTTGAGTACGCTTGTGGAACTCGTCCGCTTGTATACTCATTCTATCGTCTGCCCCTTCGCATTTTCTTTGTTCAACGAGGCATTATTCTCACCTCCCAATCCTCGTGTTATCGCAACCTTGGACGAGAGCTTAGTTGATATCTGAAAATTCCCTCGAGCACACTTGTTAGTTCGTTTATACAAGTTTGCTTGTTTCTACTCCGCCGCACTCCCAGCTCCTCACTCGCCTACCTCCGCCTCCGTCGATTTTACCGCCAGACTCGCCTTCGCATTTCGAGGTATTCTAGCGTTATTCTTGACACCCTTGGGAAATTCGAACCTTACGTGAAACTCTCGGATAAAGTCATTCCCAGAGGACCACGTGTATAACCATTTATACGCTTGACAACGGACAGGTATGGGGACAGATAGTGCGACATAATGGGACAGTGGCCCATCTGACGTGCTACAACCTCGGCGTCATCATCAAAAGGCACCGTGAAAGTCAGTCGATGATAATTTCACAATTTCTCGAGTATACCGATGCGCCCATACTTCGATTTGACGAGCAGGTCAAAAAAGGACAGAGTGTTTGGAAGGATCCTTATAGTGGCGAGACCATGAAACAGGTGGCGGAGGACGGTGACGAAGATGATGACGACGGCGGCGGAGACGGCAATGACCAGGGTGGAGGAGGAGCAGGTGGTAACGGGGGAGCCGGTGGCGGCGGGCCAGGAGGCTCTGGTAATGGCCAAGGGGGCGGCGGGGACGACAAAGACAAAGACAAGAGAGAACGACAAGAGAGGGCCAAAAAGAGGGCAGAAGGGAATGCGAAACGCCAAGCGGAAGAGAATGCGAGACGCCGAACTGATTTAGAGGTAAGCCCACGCCTTGAGTTGGGTACGATTTTACTCACTCGTCATAGGGTGTTCATCTTGGCTTCAGGGCAAGCAGACATCATCTATGGTCCGGTGGTTTCAGCGAGCTCAGCCAACTGAATCCCACTGTTGCAGCACTTGCTGGACCAGCGCCGGGCTCTGCGCAAGACGGGGTTTCCTCTCCTGCTTTGGATGCGATGTACGGCTTGACTGCTTCGGATCAACAACGCAGAGTATCTGCAGGCTCTACTCACAGTAGTGGATCTGCTACTTCCACTCGTACCGACGCCCGTTCGCTCTTCGATGAACGAGCCTCCTCGGTGCCACCTAGCCCGGCGACAACTGCTAATTTCTCGGACTCCCCGCAGTCAAGGGATGGCTCCCCATTCCCAGAGAAGGCTGCCGGCCGCGAAATGGGTTCCCCTGGTCCCACCTCTGCAACCATCTCTAACGCTGGGATTCTGCTCCACAACATCCTCGGTCAAAGCGCGATAGGTATAGTCTGGTCTGGCAAAATGATCCCCGAGGATGGCAGCGACAAAGACACATCAATCGCTATCGCGGTGAAGATGGCCGTGCCGCGGGACAATGGACATTCAGAGGCAACGGACGACGAAAGGGAATGTATACGCCAGGAAGGTACCGTGTACGACTTTCTTGCCAAGTCAGGAAAGCAGGACATTTTGCCTCACTGTTATGGTGTTTTCGAAGACGAGGTCGGAACTGTTGCCCTCATCCTGGACAATGTGGGGAAGCCCTAGAGTCCTTCCGTGATCTGAGAACGGAGCAGTAAGTCTCATTTCAAAAAAAAAAAAAACATCTTGCAAATACGAGATTGACAACTTGAACAGAAAGCAGACACTCTTCGCCACAACTGTGGAGATGCATTCGGTCGGTGTTCGCCACAACGACCTTGCCCCGCGCAATATTGTTCAGGACTCAGAAGGGAAACTGAGGATTATTGACTTTCATATCGCGGACATCGACCATGTCTGCCTTGGGAAGGAAAAATGCAAAGAGCTCATGAAATTGAGGGAGAAACTTGGACTCAGCGGGGGAGCGGATGGCGAAGTCCAAGCGCAGAGGATCACCTTGCTTTAGCTAGGTCCCCCCTCCCGGACAATTCCCCCTGCCGAAATCTGCTAAATCAAAATAAAGCCAAACACTATCCGGCATCGCGTCAGCGGTGCCCCTACCAAACATTTGCATCAATCTGTAAGAACCAACGTGAACCAAACATTAGGGGTTCCTCACCGAGCTTACTCTACGGCCGACCGTGGAGGGTGGGGCCCAAACCCACAATCGCGCCGAAATCGGAGGGTTCGAGCCCCGCTTGTCCCAGGGAGGGCGGACGGAGGCACTGGGATGCTTGAAGAGGCTTGAAGCATGTTCGCGAAGCCCCGAGTCGAGCTTCGGTGGCTATAGACAGCGATGGGGGCTCAAACCCACAACCCGTGGCAGTGGCAGGGAGACCGTATTTGAAGCCTTGAGGTATTGGAAAGAAACACAAAGGGAAAACAGAGAGGGGAAAACCAAAAAAGGATGACCGATAAAACGGAAACCGCCGATGGGGCTCGAACCCACAACCTTTGCCTTGCAACTGTGCGTTAGGAAGGCAATGCACTACCTTTGTGCTACGGCGGCTTGATGCCTCGTCCCAATATTCTTGATTATCATCAGCAGGCAGTGGTGTGCGCGTCTAGGCTTGTCTCTTCGAGAGACCCAAACTCGGCGTCAAAACATCCCAGCTATTCGGGTGGGACAGTACTGCCCCAAGCAACGCGATGAGAATTAAGGTCCGGGACCACTGCGGTTGTCTGCTGCGCCGAGACAAAGCGTAGCAGAAAGTTCAGTCACCCAGGAGGGGCCGCTAGCCAGATTGGTGTACAAGATAGCAGTTCTGTGTCGGTGGCTATAGCATCAGTACCGTGTATATGTCGGTGAGGCTAGCACATCGGATTCGTGATGGGGCCATGCGTTAGCGGGGACATAGGTAAGATGCGGCGACCACACGAACAAGCGTTACACGGTGGGGGGCACAAGAAGGCAAGTGACACCATTGTCCAGTGGCTGAGGAGTGTACGAGGATGCGAAGCAGTGGGACTGTGGGTACCGAGACGCCTGAATTGAAGCCAGACGAGGTGGAGGGCGCGGATAAGCAGTGCACGGCGTGGTAGGATCACAGACATGGTGGCAGAAGACGGGGGCCCAGGCTGGGAGCTACAAGCGGTTAGATACTAACACTTCGAGCAAGCACATGGCACAAGTCCGCCTGCAAGCGCATCAAGGCAGCAACCGACGGTACATTGGGCGGTCACCAATAACAGTGATGGGCGCGTGAGCAGCGGCAGCGGAGCGGGTACATTTGCGCAGTGAAATTGCTGGTCAATGGCAAGCGGTACGGCCACCAGATGTGAAGGGACAGCGATTAGATATCAGCGAGGCAGCATCGGGAGGCAGGGACCATATAGGAGCATAGCAGTAGGTGTGTGACATTCAGCGAGTCGCATAGTATTGGGCAGGTAAGTAGCAGCAGAACACCAAGAACAGCCGATCGACGAAAGACTCGGAAGAGGGGCGGAGCATCGGTTGGAATTTGGTTGAATCCTGCCCACATGACCGCGATTTTGAGATAAATACTTACAAGTCGCGTCTTGAGGCGCGTAGTACGCGCAAAGTACGCGCTCACCGTTGCGGGACTAGACGACAAGCTCTTGCTGACACGACGGACCTTTGTGGTTCCGACTCGGAGTAGATTCGGAGATCAACAACAGCAAAGCGGAACAGGTCGGGCCTTGAGCCAGCAAAGCGAGAAAATCCTCTTCACCTAGACTCCATCTAGACGACCGCCATGTCCTCCTCCCCTTCTCTCGCAAAATGGGACGCCAGGTCTGTAACGTAGTCTAGTCCTCTACCCTACCTCCCTTAATCCTTTTGCAGGCTTCTTGGACCTGTTCCCCATGACGCGAGCTACTACGCAAAGTGCATGCTCGGTGGTGTTCTTGCCTGTGGCATCACCCACGCCGGTATCACTCCCCTCGATGTCGCAAAGTGTAATATGCAGGTCAGTGGATGAACTCGTTCGTTTTTTCTGACTGGCTCACGTTTTTCTGTTTTTTTTTTCAAACAGGTCAACCCACTCAAGTACAAGGGCCTCTTCCCTTCCTTGAGCCTTCTCGTCAAGGAGGAGGGGCAGACCGGTATCTGGAAAGGCTTCGGGCCCACCTTCGTCGGCTACTCTCTTCAGGGAATGTTCAAGTACGGTCTCTACGAAGTGTTCAAGGATGCCTACATGAACCTCGCTGGCGAGGAGATGTCCAACAAGTACAAGCCCGCAATCTGGCTCGCCGGTTCCGCTTCCGCCGAAGTCTTCGCCGACATCGCCCTCTGCCCGCTGGAGATGACAAAGGTCAAGATCCAGACCAGCGCGACCGGAACCTTCCCCACCGGCTTTGGAGCTGCCCTCGCACAGATGCGCGCCACCAAGGCTGAGACCCGCTTCCCCTTCGGCTCTCTCGGTCCTCTCTGGTCGCGTCAGGTTCGTCTCTGATATTTTTATTTCGCCGCGGCCCGCTAACAATCATGCTACTTGAAGATCCCGTACACCATGGCCAAGTTCTTCTTCTTCGAGAAGATCGTCCAGTTGTTCTACACCCACGTCTTCACCGAGCCCAAGGACAGCTACGCAAAGACCACCCAGCTCGGCGTCACATTCGCATCCGGTTACCTCGCTGGTGTTGTCTGCGCTATCGTCTCCCACCCGGCCGACTCCCTCGTCTCTCTCCTCGGCAAGGCGGAGAACAAGGGCAAATCCGCTGGTCAGATCGCCAAAGAGGTCGGAATCGGCTCCCTTGCGACGAAAGGACTGCCCACTCGTGTTGTCATGATCGGTGCGTCCGAGTTCCTCGTTCTGCTTTCAATTTCTCAACTCGTTCCAGGTACCCTCACTGGCTTCCAATGGTGGATCTACGACTCGTTCAAGGCCGCCATGGGCATGGGCACGACCGGTGGCAAGTAATCCTGAGTCTCTTGCGCTCGAAAACGTGGGTTCCTTTCATTCGTTCTCACGAACGTGCAACTGATCCTATGTCAAGAATAGAGGCATCCTATTTTACTTATTCGACTTTGTCCCTCTTTTCGCGAGTCTATTACATAGAATGGAACTTAATGCCGTCCACCCACCCATCAATAACGACCACTGATGACCCCCTCCTCAAACGCACTCCCCCGCGTGCCGCGTGATAATTAATGGCAAAGCTTGGTTTGAGAGCAATAGTACAATCGACGTCTAAATGACCTTACTGCGCCTTCCCCCCTTTTGCTTTTTTCTCGCGCGACTCGCCCGCCAGCCAAGCAGCAGAGAACACAAAGAATCCGATGCTGGTGCTGATAGCACCGGCGTAGTATGGCCATGCGGCACTGAGGAACCGTGGGTAACCATCGTGCCGGGGAGGGACGACAGCGACGGTTGTCGAGCTGTGGAGGTGCGTCCATCTAAACGCAACGTCAAAGCCGTCCGTTACAGGAAACAAAACCGTACCCTTTTCGTTTGTAGTCGATAACGAATTTGAATACTCCGTGGCGGTCTGGGGCGCGGAATGTGACAGAGTACGTGCCGGGTGACCCAGGCACTGGTGGAAGAGCAGTGCGAATGTGGGGATCGAGCATGGTAAACTCGAGCTGCATATCCTCGATGCCGGAATAAGGCTCCCAGGTGTCCGTTTTGGCGTTGAAGCGCGATATTTGAGCGGTGTAAACCTAGTACATGTTAAAAGTTGTCGGAAAGTAATACTGGCGGCACGCACAATATTGTCATTGGTGGTATATTGATCTAGCGACGCTGTGGAGTTGACGAGGCGGTGAGTGGTGCTGTCGATGCGCAGGACAAGCGACTCCTGGAACGTCCACGCCGCGACGTCGCGCGCGAATTGAGTGTTGCCGGACTTGACTCCCCTGGGGTAATTGAGTACCACGACCGTACACGAAATCGAGAAACGCACTTGGACACTTCCTTCTTGGCAAACTTATCACTGAACAGGTCGGCTCCTCCAACCCAGGTCACCCGAGCACCGCCAAGAGCCTGGAAACCGGCCACTACGGCGAGCTGGCTGCCGGCCCAAAGACCTTCGCCACCTTTCTCGGTCGCGTCGACCAGGACGTCAGCGCCGCCCTCCGAGTCCGCGGCGAAGCTCTCAGGCGGCGCGTTCAGAATGGGCACGAGGAACGGGTTGGTTCCAAGCGCGAATGGGATGCCGGAGAACCATATGGGCGACGTCTTGGGGGACACGATGAGAGATGACGCTGGCGCGTCGATAGGGATCACGGACGGCTCGTCCTTGCGCTCGGGGAAGAACGAGACCAAGGGCGTGGCGGGAGGCGGGAGGATTAGAGAGAATTCGGAAGCCAGGGAGGACAGCGGTGTTTGCTTGGGGGAAAGCGCCAGGAGCAGGTTGGTGCCGCCGGACAGAAGCTCAACTAGAGTCTGTGGTGTGATATCCTTGCCCAAGTCTGGGGCGTGGAGTAAATTTCATGCATATTCACGGGGAGGGGACGCTCACTTTTGGACTCGGATGCAAGGATAATAATGTGAGAGAATGTTGGAACATCGTACTCAACGACGACTGGTTTCTCGTCTTTAGGTCCGCGGAATGTAAGGCTATATCCCTGCTCTAGCCAGGCGTCAGTCAAGTTCAATGGGGTACGCGTCCAGCACACCTTTCAGATTGTCGAAGAAGATACTGAAGTCCTTCTTGTGCGATTCCTCAACCACGACGAGAACAGAGTCTCCGCCGCTGGATTTGGCATGCAGGAGGCCTGAGAGACTCAGGAAAAATAGGACGAATGTACAGAATGAAAGCATAGGTCCAGGTTTGCAGCCAGCACGACAGACCGGGTATCGGAGGCCAATGAATGGATTTGGGAAACTGAGAGCTTCCACGTCGATGACAAGTTATTTTTGGACTATTGTTGTCGCTTGTCTGTCATTGCCTTCCGCGCAGGAAGTAAAGCATAAAAGTACTTAAGAAGAGAAAGGAAATCAAGTAAAGGCTTTGGTATTCTCAAATCTAGATATATCGGGGCTACAGCGTAATCTGGGAGGAATCGAGATGTAGGGCATGTAGGAATAGATTGACGTTCGCAAGTTTCGTTCGCCTCTCGTCCTCGTCCGCCACCCAGCCCTTGTTCACACTCAGCACATTCTCCAGCACCTTATCGCGCAGCGAGGTCACCAGCACCCCTTGCTGCTCCGGGACCGCCTGCAGCGCGAGTGCAGCCAGGAACTGCCACACAGGCTGGTCGATGATGTCGATGGCGAGGGCCGCACTGGTAGGATGATGGGCCTGTAGCGTAATGCGACTCGAGGGGAAAAGAGTCAGGAAGTGGGGTGTGAGGAGGACAAAGAATTGGTCGTATACGGCTTGCCTATGCCGGAGTCAGCAAATTCGTTTTATGCACGCGACGGAATTGCTCACCACTGGTCAAGAGACGCGTCTGCAGTCACAGGATCTACCGGTTCAGGGCCTGTCCCCTGGACCCATGCCGACTTTATAACCTCCACCCGGCTTAGGAATAATGTGAGGAGGGCCAATCCGGGCTGTAGATGTTTATTTAGTCATGGCGTAATTATGCATGCATGGGCAACA